TTTGACAACGGAAGGCTGGTCGCGTCGTAGAAGTGCGTCGGAATAAGCGGGAAAATAAGTCAGGAGAGCCGTTCAAACGGGTGGAAATCATGGAAAACAACAATGATACCGCGGTGTCGTGGCCCTGCCTATAAATAAAACGAAGGAATATAATTGTGATACGGAACGACCTCTCGCCAACCGCACCGTGGTCCCCCTTCTCGTCTACCCGGGACGCATCCCTGATGCACTTTTCGCCGCTATCAGCCGATTCTTTCACTCTCTCTCTCTCTCTCTCTCTCTCTCTCTCTTCAAGCTACAGCCGTACGTGAGGGTGCCGACGTTTAAAAATATCTCACGGCAAATTGTCTATCGTCGCGACATAGTCACGCGTGCTCTTGTGCACTTGATGATCAGGCTATTTCGGCGAGACAACTATTTCATTACAATAATTTGAATGTTTAAGTACTCTCCAAAATGTTTAGAGTGAATCTCAATTTTCAATCTTTGAGATTGAGATTCACTTTAAAGTGAGATTCCACTCTAGAGAATTTAGAGAGTAAATCATTCGGACATTTTTTTGTATTTCTTCAAACTCGATTTTACTAAAGAACTTTGAAGTAATTGAAAACTTCACACTAGGAATTCGATTCGCAGTTGGGAATTTTCGCTAACCTTTCGCAGATTATTACGAATTATGTTTGTGTGCGAGGTATTCTTGAAGTTGTTTAGAAAAGATATAAGGATCGAGGAGGGCGAAAGGGTTCATGATAAAATTTATGAAAGCAGAATCCAAAACGGTACCGATTTATTTGATAAGATATTACGACCGATGGTTGCACATTTTATGCAAAAATACCTATATATTTAAGTGATCACGCACATCAGCTCTTATTTTTTAGCCCGACAAAATGACTCGTCAATTTATATTCTCGTCCCACCAAAAGTGTACGATTCCTGATCGTGAACAGTTATGAGATCGTCTACCCATTCGATGCGTGAGAGGTTTCGACTGTCAAACTTTCTCTCGCCAAACTTTTAGCCATTTTAAAATACGAAGGGTGTGTTTTCGGCGGCGTGGCGGGATGGGCACGTCCGTAATCGTAAAGTTGACGTGATTAATAATAATTACTCCCCGGGGGTAGATCGGGTAGACGGCGTGACGGGTAGACGGTAGCATCACGGGTAGATGGATATACATGGTAGATGCGAGTCCGCGCGCGCGCGTCAGACGATCGTTGCGAAGGACGGGACAGCTGACGGGTGACAGTGACAGTGACGGTGAATAAAAGCGAGACGAGGGTAGAACGCGGCAAGAGAGAGCGGGTGGGGGATGGTAATCGAATTATTCGAGTGCTCGAAAATGGAGAGCCGCTCGGCAAGGTTAATCGCGGCGTCCGTCGTGGTACTCTCATAAAACGTTAACGAAAATAAACCTTCACGTCCCGGATGGCATCACGCAAATCTCGTCGAATTTTCATGCAAAATTGAGGAAAGTCACAACTGCGCGTAGACCTTCCCCATTTCTCTTCGCACGTCGCATATAATCAGAGATGCTGCGGCGACATTCCGAAGGATTTTATTGCTACAACATGAGTAAATATTGTTTTGTTCTATTACTTTTTTGCATCTCAGTATATTTCAGTAAATAGAATTACTTAATATATTTAATATGTTTAATTAACTACAAACGACAATAAATACAATGCTAGAAAGTATGTATATGAAGTTATATCCATTTGTTTCTCAAGCATTGATTGGTAGCAAATAAATGGCACTCAAATTTGTAATTGTATTATAATAACAGTTAATTAATTTCATCATTAAGCTACCATAATTGAATAATTAATTTTTATTCCGTGACGATCAAAATTATCAAGTCAATTAATAAATTAATAGTTCCGATTGCACGCAATAAAAAATAATTATTCGCTTATTGTAGCTTAATGCTAAAATTAATTCAGTCACTATTATTCTAATATATGGTTATAAATAAAACATTTAATTTGAAAGAATTGATGTTTTCCGAAATAGTTCAATCCATTTTCTCGGTATAATTATGAAAATAATTCTTCGAGTTATTTAAAACCTTCGTGCCTGTCAGTCCAGTAAAGCATTACACGTTTGGAAAATGTCCGAGATTCATAAGCTTCATGGAAAACTTCTTACGCGGCGACCAACGCGACACGAGGAACCAGTCGAATACCAGGACGGGTGCAGCCGGCTTAGAAGATACGCACAAAGTCGCGGCATCGATATCGATACGCGGCGAGAGTCGCTGATTGATCGGGGAATCGGGTGAAAAACGTTGCTCGCGTATAACGGTACGATTTGAGGTAGCTTTACCCTTCGTGGAAGCAGTCGGTCTTGCCAAGCGATGGCCTGAATAGAGTCTCCTGGCCCCTACCGTGTATATAAATCTGCCTTCTGCTGCTCCTCTTTCTTTCCTCCGTTTTTTTCTTCTTTTGCGCGTTATCCGTGTCCCCGTCGCTGATCGATCGATCGATCGATCCGTCCGCGGTCGATCGTTCTCCACAGACGCGGGGAATCCGGGGTCGAGTTTAACGTCGGTCATCAGGGTAAATATCGGACGCACGTGCGTGAGTGCCGATCGAGCGCCGCTGCGTTTGATCGGCAAGAAATCTGAGCACGACTCTCCGCCGAGCTCTCTTCCTGATTTATTGCTGATCCCCCTCTCCCTCTGATCGCGAGAACAGCCACGAGCAAACCATGCGCGGGCGTTTGTGAAGTGTTTTTGCGAGCATAGCAACTCGCATCCAGCGAAGAGGATTTTCTAAGTCGGTGGATCTTCTTATTTTGAAAACCGGCCATATCATGCGTCTTTAAGGTTTTGTCGGTTGTTCTGCGCGATCTCGATGCAGAGTCGCGGTACCAGCTTGTCTTGATCTCGTAGAAGCTGCCGTAATAAGCGAAACGAGTAAAACGATATCGATAATTAATATACCAAGAAGCAGAAGTTTCGCAATTCCGTTCGCGAAGTGAAATAGATTAGTTTACCCAGCTTTTCTTCCTCTTGATTGCTTTTTGTATGAAATTAAACGAGTCTAAGCTCTAAGAAGATTGAAGTTTTTATGGATCAATTGCGCAGAAGATATATAAATATTTAAAATGCTACCTTTAATAGGATCGTAAGAAATTAAAGTGTGAAAATTTCACTTTATTTGTGTCTGTTTTATCTACAAACATTTGTAATCGGAGAAAGCGACCCGAAGACCCGAAAGACTCCTCCTTGACTTCCTCATGTCAACGATTATGCATTGATTCAATTGCGAGTCGATTGCTACGAATCGAGGCGATTCTATACCGGAGACGTGTCCGCGATATCGTCGTTGTTGGAGCAAAAAGAACAGAGTGTGAATAATCGTTCGCCGATCTATTTTGAGCTTTACGTCGATAACGTAACATCGGAAATTTCACATCATTAATAAAATTATAATTTTCAAGGAAACGCGCTTTACAACGTATATATTAAATTGCTGATAAGCCAGAAAAAGAGGCACGAAACGCGCGTTTCTCGTTCGATCGGTCGGGAAAGTATCTCTCGGCCGGTGGAGGAAGTATCGCAAAAGCTGCTTTCTGATAAACTTATTTGAAGGAACCGCCCGCGATCATATGTGTGCCCGTACGAGATTATTGCGCGTAATTCATGGGCTCTTTCATTCATAAAAAGGCTAAATCGCGCAAAGGCTAACAACGTTACGTCGTTCCGTTATACGGCCGATCGTAGAAAGTCGTGAACTGATTAGGTTTGTATCCGCAATTTGAAACACAGTGTTTCTCTAATAAGGCTCGCGCCTTATTATCAGTGCTTATGTCCTGTTATCGGTCAATTAGAAATAATTATTTACCGCAACGGACACATATCAGCCAGACAAGTGTACTTGAATCGCGTATAATGCAGCATCCTCGATAATGAAATGCTCGATCAATCGATGCAATTGCCAATAACTACGTTAATCGTACGATTAATGAAAAGATAACGCAATGTTTTCAAATAGTCCAACTTTATATCCACTTTGCTCCGAATAGCTCGAATACGTAAATGATTATCGTGTTCATTTTCTACTCCGATAACCTCGCACCAACTTAATGAAGCTGTTATCATATACTGCTTCAGCATCTTGATCAATGATACCTAATACTTTTGCGGACGCAAATTATTTTTTTGCTTCTTTATCTTGCTAGAAGCTCAAAAAAGCCACATAGTTTTATGACATAGTGCAAATCTTTCGTTTTCTATTTTCATGTATTTCGTGCATTCTTGTAAGTATTTAGTGACGTAAAAGTATCTTGCAACATGCAGAGATTTTAATAATGCGTAAAAGAACAGACAAATATCTCATTTTTATGCTCACGGAGGATCGCAACGCATGACCACAATGTTGTATCTATATCAAAGTTTTTTTATATCTATATCACCTACCCAGCTTATCACAAATATGTTTGTGTTGTAAACATAAATATTTGCTTAATTTTATGTTTTATTTGTTTATTCATGCATATATCCAATATTTATATGTAGATAGTACCAAGTGGCCACGGAGCCATTAAACAGTCCAGCGATACTTTATCGAGCTATGCAACATCGTGCATGCAGTATCGACCAGCGAGAATTTTTTCATTCCCGAATAATAAATAACGCAACAAGCAAACCGTGTGTGCGAACCCTGTTTTTTAAAAAAATCCATGTATACGTGAGGACTATTAAGAAAGAAACGTTTAATCGTTATAGTACATTTAGCAGACGAGACTTCATGAGATTGCATCTTCTATTTGGAATTTTCCGATATAATTACGCAGCACTAAATATAATCGTAACTGTTTTAAAATAACTCATTAAAAATAAAAAACGAATTATTGTATAATCACGTTACATTACACAATAAGTATTCTACAGAAGAAATTAGAAAGAAGGTTTCTCTATGAAATTTGTCTTGTGTTATAACAATTTGCTAGAATTATACTCACAACTGATGTATTGTTAACTTCATGTTTTTCAGATCAAAGGCTAAGGCACTCGAAGAGCAACTCTGAGGTGTTGTATTTCAAGTTTTCCGATAAGATTGTCCAACATCGTGTTACCAGGGCAGAGTTGTCTCTGTGGATATGGGGTGTGAATCAGGAAACGGAGCTCGGTGAGCCAATTGATCAAGACGCCGGTCCGGTGACGATCACGTTGCACAGGATTCTTCGGAGAACGACAGAGACAGGCGAAATTGTGCTGGGTCCTCCTTTGACCACGAAACACCCTCGACCGTTTGGACGGCGGGGTGGCTGGATCACGATCGAGCTCAGACGAATGGTAGCGGAGTGGTTCAAGCATCCGAGAGATAATCTGGGAGTCGCCTTGAAGATCACTGGCAGCAGTCATCGCAAGAACTCGATCAGACTGGTTGAGACCAATCCCGGTGCGGAGTACGCTCCATATCTCGAAGTGCAAATGCAGGAACTCGATTCACGAAGAGGTTCCAGGATTAAGAGAAACGTGGGACTCAATTGCGACGAGGCTAGCCAGGAGACCAGATGTTGCCGGTACAAACTCACGGTAGACTTCGAGAAGTTTGGCTGGGATTGGATAATCGCACCCAAAAAGTGAGTGCATGATTCTTCTATTTCTCTTTTCTATATTAATGAAGATTTTTTTACCATGAAAAGTGTTGAAATAGTTATATCTTTTAAAATTCTATTCATTTTATTACGAAGATCTCATTATAAAAAAATCAAGTAGTGATTTAGCAATAAATAAATATACGATGAAAAAATTTCTATTGAAAATGACAGTAGAATTTTTCTTGTGTAAGATACATATTAGGGCGATATATTTCGCATTTGTTTAATAAAATATACTTGAAATATGTGTACTTTCGTGAGAACATATTGCGACTCATAAAATGATTAATGCATCGTCGGTCAAGCACGTACTCGTAAAGATTTCTCTGGCGAAGGAAAACATTTTGAGCCAAACTGGGTTTAAATGAAGGAACTGCGACTTTCTTGCTGGCACGTAGAACAGTTCTACATCAACAGCGTTAAAGTGTTATTAGCGCACGTTCGGTCTATAAATACTTCTTGTTGTGCAATAGTGGTATATATTTCGAGTTAATTTACCACGGCGATATTTAACAATGATGCTTAATGAGGAATATAACGAATGTGAAGTTGATAAATTTTGTTTTGTAAATTAATATTATTTGATAAATCGCATTTCTGCATTAACGGTCGGTTTCTGGATCTTTGTGTCACAGATATGATGCCAATTACTGCTCGGGTGACTGTCCAATGGCTTTTCTTCCGGCTTATCCGAACACACATATCGTCAGCTTGGCGGAACCGCCGAACAACACCGGACCATGTTGCGCACCTAGGAAGCTGTCCGAAATCACAATGTTATATTTTGACAACGAATATCAGATCGTGTTCTCGCGGTTGCCGGGCATGGTCGTCGAGAAATGCGGGTGTTCATAGTCCACCTTCGTTTCTGACAGGACGAAAGCAACGTTGGCGACGCCGAGAGTTCCGCACAGGTACCGCGATGCTCTCCCTTTGATCAATCTCGACGATCATCGTCATTGTCCTCGTCAATCGTCGTCGATTGTCATCGCCGTGTTCTCGGCGATTCCTCATCCGATAGACTGAAAGTGCCTTGTTCGGAGAGTGATTGCGTGATGCGGATCTCTTTGGAGCGCAGAGGGAGGAATACGAAGTGCGCGGATAGGCGGTGTTTGGTGATTCGCGAGAGTTCCCTCAAAGACTGTGCTGGATGCCAAGGGAAGTCCAAAGAGGGACTCGCGCCGTGTCAGCGGGAGGCACCTCGACGGTGGTCCATGGTTCATGGCAAGGCGGATAGTTCCTAGAGAGAGAGAGAGAGAGAGAGAGAGAGAGAGAGTCACGGTATTATTTTTAAGACGCCGATACGTTTGCACTTGATCCTAATTACGCCTCTAATCGGAATTCCCCAAATGCGAATTTCTTATTCCTCTAAATCAAGAAAGATAGTGGAATGGGACATTTAGAACGTTTGTACTTATTGCGCAAGCGTTATTCTCAGAACTCCAGCGTGGTTTTACCAACAAACAGCGCAAAACTTTGTTGAAACTTTCATTATTACGCCGCGGCTGATCGCGAGACCAGATAGATACGAAGGGATGCAATGTGGGCGGTTTGCGTGCCTGATTGTGTTCACGAAATGTATAATTCTTGTCTCTCCTATATTTCTTTACTTTGAACCAAACGCGTCATTAAAACAGAGGACATCGATCGGTGGAAACGTGTTGGACAACAGATCTCGGTGTACAGTAAAATCGTTGTTTTTTTCTAATAGTTTTTTTTCTCTCTCCCCCCTCGTCTTTCTACAATATATTATATATAGAAACGTTTCTGTCACTATGATCGTTTTTTTTTTTAGCGAATTGTGAGAGTGCGTGTGCGAGAGAGCGTATCGAATTATGTAAATAAGTCGTAACAGGCAAGAATGTGGTGTTGCTTCGCTGACACTCCTACGTCCTGGGAGAATCAACGAGGATATTACTCGTATATTGACGGAGAACCTCAACCTTCCTAGTTTTTCTAACGCGAGTAGTTGTAATTACACGGCGCCAATATCCGGCTAATTGCACTCGGAATTTTTTAATAACGCGGCAATTGGCAATTTCATATCCACGTTTCCGTCATTCATCATGGTCGCAGAACGAGTGTCGAGCGTTTATTTCTAGATAAATAATAAACATTAATCGCGCGAACGAATGCGCGACGCGCGTCTGATTTTCGTAGCTTTCTTCGTAACTTACGGTATTAATAGCTGCATTTTAGCGCGTCGGGTGAAGCACTCGTCAAGAAGGGACGACGACTTTTTTTTGGAATGTGTCCCTTCCTATTCCACGCATTGTACAATCTAAAAAAAAAAAAGATTGTCAAGCGTTTTTAGACAAAATTATTCTAGGGGTATATATCTCGACAAGCGCTCTTATTAGTTTTTATAGATTCATTAGGATCCGTCCCTGATCCTCGGGCATAATCCCTACTAATTACTACGGTGATAGAGAGGATCAGTGCCGCAATTATGTATAGACATATCCCCGAACGCTTGAACAATTCCAGTTATGTGTGTAGCGATTGAAACCAATATAATTTCGATAAATTCAGATCTTCGCAATTAATTGATGAAAGACAAACGTTTAATAAGCAAAGCATTTTTCTCTAAACCTATGTAATATCGAGAATTGAACTCGTCGAGATTCTACCGGTTTCAATCCCTCGTTGTAGCAATCTTCAAAATCCGGGAACATACTTGAAACTTCTCATGCTATCAGAGCTTAACTCCACGTTTTCCCCTCAGCTTCGAGTCAAGTGCATTGTAGCTACATTTTGTAAAATAGTATACGATATATACGATGGACTTGCGCGCACCGTCCCTAAACTTCATATGATTGTAAAGGAAAAAAGTCACACACGTACCCACATAACATAAAACACACACACACACACACACACACACACACAACATATACTTAGACATGAATTTATAAAAAAAAACTGCGATTTTTATAAAGCGATCATTTAGAATGTAAGAGAAAGCTCCTTGAAAAATCGATTTTTTTATAATTCCTCCCCTCCTCTGTCAAGCTGTCCTTGTCTTTCCATTCTCCTCCGGTCATTCTTTTTCTCCCTTGTATCTATTACATTTTCCATTCTCAGTTTGTTTGTCTCAATGTATCAATAATTAAAAAGATAATGGATTTGCTTATACCCCGCTCCCAAAATAGCGAACGAGGACGGCAGAAAAATGCATACTTATACGTATAATGTGTACTTCCTAGGTAGACACACAGCATAGATAGAAAAATATTTATTCCATGAAATAAATGGTTTTTCGATGAGCACGGAATAACATTTTATTTTTCCTTTTTACCATCATTGAATAATTGATTTAATAATTAATTATGTATATTTTGTTGAAATATAGAATAAGAAGTAAGAATCAACTTTCTATTAAAGGCAAAGCAACCGTTTAATATCGGCTATAAAAAATTTATTAAATCAAATTATTTTGCGGTAATTTGTAATGTTTTCATTTTGATTATTTTAATTACTTTAATCGTGTTTTTATTTGATTCTTTTATTTCACAAATATATGACGCACATAAAAAAAGTATTGAATTGAAACAAAGGTTTGTAGGCCAACAAATTTCAAAATTCAAGCAGCTTTAATTTTGTTAAAAATAAAAGAAATTTAAATAAAAAAAAAAGAATTTTAAAACTTAAAATCTTTACTTTCGAAATGTTACTTCTGAGTATCTATAAGCTGTGTCTATATAATTGACAAATTTTATATATAAAAAACTACAAGCTGGATAAAATGGGAAATTTTCTTCTTTTTGTGGGCTAGATAAAAAAACGTGAAAACTTTCGACTTTTTAATGTAAAAGTTCCTACAAAATTATTTTTTTTAAATTCCTAAGATTTTTTTACTGGAATATATTTTGACTTCGATTCATAACTCCGTTAAAGCTATTATTATAATTGTCAAATTTTTTTAAACTATGTAGGTACAAATAAAATAACGCTACGAACTTTTTTGTTCCGACCTAATGTATGCTTACTAGTTTTGTACGTCGTGCATTAAATTTATTTTTAAATTCTGCTTCATGATAAATTTGGTAATATCGTGTATTCTCTTGCAGTAATCAATCTGTACTTTATTAAATCGTGTTTCACGACGTGCCTCTCTTTTTAATCAATGCAAGAGAAAGGCTTACATATGGTGACGATAAACTTTCGGGGCAGAAAACGATTGTTGTTTTGCGATTTCTTTTCGTCCACCAATTAAAAACCGGTCATGTTTTCGCTGATTTCTGGTACTTCCAGAATAAAGAAAAACATTTTTCGCAATACACGCACATTAATCATCATATTAAATTATTTTTCCAAATTATCTCTCTCTCTCTCTCTTTCTTTCTCTCTCTCTCTCTCTTTCTTTCTGTTTAATATAGTCATTAAATAAAGATGAGAAATATGCGAAGATTAAAGTAAATATCTTTAAAATCTTCATTTAAAGTGAATATAATAAACGTTATTAGATAATAAAGGAATGTAATAAATAAAAGAATAATAATTAAACGAGTTGTATGAATATGCAGAATTCAAAATATATTCAAAGTGCATGCAGACATAGCATGTCACTGCATTGATAATCTCGAAAATTTTGACTAACAATAAATATTTCACACCGTCTGTGTTATGAACCAGAACCATAAATATAATTATCGTTTACTTATCACTAATGATTAAATAATCGACAAATACATTATTGAGAGTAACATTGAAAAATTTGTATTCTTATCATACCAGATTAAAGTGTATACATAGTCTGGAGTTTACACATAGATCTGTGCAACATTGATATTACAATTGATGCGAGTTGTAAGTCACGCATTCTTAATTATCTATAACGTGCAACGGCACGATAAAATGAATTCGACGGCAGGTGAATTTTTTTTATTTGTTAAATTTCAATGCAATATGCTTGCTTACTTGATGTGCCGCTTTCCATAAAATATTGCACCTGTGCAACACATTGTTCTATTCGCATTCTATGTGGCAATAAAATAATATACGCGTTTTTAAAAAACATGTTTACCAAAATTATGTTTATGAATTTATTGATGTCTCATATAAAATCGTATCAGGAGTATCAGAACAAATAACATTTGTTTTATTTATAGATTCTTTTTTACTCAGTTCGCTTTTGTGTAGGTCATTATAACTATGTCATGGCTTTTATGTCGGTTGTGATAATCGAAACAATTGTAATGTGGAGAATTGAAAGAAGGGTATATCTTATTTGTCACCAACCGGGTCGAAAGAGTGCCAAGGAAAAATTTATTTAAGCGAATGGCTCCGCTGCTCAGTAGGAGAAATGCGTTTTATCGAGAATACAATCAAGTAATAAATTCACCATAAAGCTTCTTACGATGCTTCCATAATGAATGAGCGTGTAACTCATCAAAGTTATCAAATATAATTATCAAAGTTCTCTTACATGATTAACTCTCTTTTAAAAAATTACACATTCCAATGTCTATTATAAAAAAAATATTTGAACAAATTAAGCGCAAACATTTGATAATCAAACGTAATTTTAAAAAATGTTAGATAAATGTTTGAAATATATTTTTTTAATCAAGCATCAATAAATCTACACAAGAGTTTAATGATGTAATAAAGTTTAATGATGTAATAAAGTTTTCATAAATTTCTAAACTAAAGACGTCATGTTAAACAAAATTAATTCGTACATATTTATTGTTACTTTAAGCATTTTCGGGCATGGCATGTCAGTGACATGGTCCGAGCTTGTTCGGATACATGCGATGATAATTCGCGCATATAATGCGATAGTGAGATGCACGTCCTGGCAAGTCGGCCAGTTGAATTGACGACAGTCAACTGTTTCGCCAGACGTGCCAATTCTCGTTTTATTGTTTTTCTTCGGCGGCGCCTCGAGCACTCGTCCTTGCCGATGGTCGGGTTAGTGCTCCCCTTTCGCCGAAACAGAAATGCCGAAACAAAATCGACATTAACCCGAAAACACCGCAGAGAATTTATTGGAACAGAAATAGTCAACGTCGCATGCCAAGAATATTTAAGACAGAATTAAATAAAATTCATGAGAGAGAGAAAGTGATTTTTACCGAAATTAAAATTGACGATCAGACAAGACAAAGATGAAAACTTCTTGATGAAAACTTTATAAATTTTATTAATTTATGTAGATGATATTAGGCCAAGATTTTCTTAAAAGAAGAAGATAATTGTCAAAAATCTATTGTTGCGTTAATTATTAGTAAAATTTTAAATATACGAAAATGTATAAAGATATACAAAATCACGTACTAAGGAATATGTGTGTATAAAATAATTAATAATATAATGACAAAATAATAATAAATAATCAGTAATATAATAATAAATAAAATTATTTGTAATATTAGTTTATACAATATTAATATTATATACAAAAATATCTTATATCAAATCATGTAACATCGTCATCTTCGACTTTATTGTGTCACATACATTTTTCACTACATTGAAATTTGATACTGCGATGTCTTATCATATCAAGAAAATATTTTCTTGATCTCTCTTGATACTTCTCGGTAAAGATAATTTATACTCGTGAAGCGTATTACATTTTCTGGAACATATCGCTTTCTCTCTTTCTGTGCAAACAGGTAAGCTACGGAGTTTGTTATCCACAATCGAGGTGCGAAGTTACTTCTGTAATGAGAGCAGGTCGTGTTTCCATTATGAGAAGAAATCATTGAGTAATCCGAGGTCAAGCTTCGCCAGCCGCCGATGGGCAACGAGCTCTCGAATGCACTGGCCCCCATGGGCCAATCTACCTAAACTCGCCGACCAGACTATGTCTTAATAACCTTGCACTCTGCGAGGCGTATTGGCCTGCTCATCGGATTGGCATTTAAATTGGTAAGTAGTTTGAAACACTCTCAGCTAACTTTCCTCCTTCCACTTAAAAAACGTAAGAAACCAGGCCCGCGAATAATCTATCAATACGAAATGTTGCGTAAAAATGGCAAAATAAATTCACTCGCTTATTGAGAATGTATTAACTTATATTTAATATACATGTAAATTGATTGACAGAAATAATTGAAATAAAAACAATTCTAATAATAATATTCAAATAATGAAATAATTAATTATTATAAAATAAGAAGTACTAACTGTAAAATGTTATTATAAAATAATAATACACATATATAAAAAAGCAATTTAGTACTCATTTATGAAGATAATATTTTTTTCTCGTAGCATCTTCCGGGCACGAAAGACTGAAGATTTATTGCAAATTTTCCAGTATATAACAAAACACATATATCGTATAGTCAATTATCGCGATTCTAAAATTACTAATATTAGAAATTACGAACTTACAGCTTTGGACGATAAATTCTTATCAATTCTTACAGCATGCACGTCAGCAGTCACGTTAAATAACTTCGGGTTTACTCAAAGCTCAGTGATTCGCTACGCAATACGTTGACAGCTTGAATAAACGGCGAAAAATTCGCTTGCAGAAGCAGAAATGGTGTCCCACCCGCGAAAGAGCTCTCGCCTTTTGGAGGAGTGAAAAGCGGATGTAGGCCGACATTAGGGCGCGTTTCTTACATACAGCCGTTAAACGGGAATTACCTCGAGGGTACGATGGGGGTAGGAACAATAATATTATTCGAAGTATAGGCTCTTTGACATAATTGTCATGGCGTAGTGCCATTGGTAGTCTTTAGCTGCGTTTTATGATCCATTCAACGATCCGGTTTACCCCGAGTACGGCCGTTACTCAGATTTGCATTTTACGAGTGACCGGACAAAGGTGAACCACGATAGATCGGAGAAAAAGAGACAGGAAGTCGGAAATAAAATGAATTGGACGGAGACGGCACGAGCGGCACACGTACGTGCTACTTATGCATTCATATTCCTTCCGATAATATAATTTCTTCGTCAACCACCATTGGTCGGATGCCAATTGCACGCCATAACATTAATTAACACCGTATCTTACTGATCGTCCATAAGCATATTTATTTTCATGTCGCTTCCACGGTTTCTCGCTACGGTTTTTCACGAAAATTTTTAGAAGTGTGTAACACCTATCCTTATTTAAATTTGCAATCGCGTTTGCCACAGAATTTATTTTTATATTACTTTTATTACACTGAAAAAATGTCTGAAAATGAACGAACCAGAAGATTCTGATTATATTAATCAGAATTTCGGATATTTCTACCAGAATTAGTAGATTTAATCAGAAAATTCTGATTCGTTCATTTTCAACCACAATTCCAATTA